TTGCGGCTTTACCTTCTTCACCGAAGGACTCTCGCTCCGGCCCTGGCTCCGGCTCGGGCTACTCTGGCTCCGGCAAGGGAGTCGCAGTCCTCAGGGTCTCTCAGACATATCACATCGGGGTCACCAGTTGTTGCTCACCAGCCCAGGCTGCAGCTCCAAGGATGTCATTGCATCTCCCGCAGCCAGGAGGAAATGGCCTGCCTTTTGTAGGCAGGGTCTAAACCTTAATTAGGAAATTAAATCAATTCCATCCAGCTGGGCAATCTGGGCAATAGCCACAGTTGCAATAGCCATATTTGGATGGTCTTGAGATGATGGGTTGAGTTTTAGGATTTCCAGGAACAGCACTGTACTCCACGAGCAGTTGTCAGTAAGGGCTATCCACAGAGCAAAGTAGGGAAAACAATTTATTTAACATGCAGCAGAACAAATGCATTGGAGATGTATATACAGTTACGGCTGTTCGGTATGAAGCAGGAACCTCACCCTACAGACAAGGAACATTCATAGTTTAATTTCCAAAGCTTTTAACAACGCGTTTCCACGCAGCACGACTACGGCATCTTTCCATTTGGCTGGGGAGCGCAGGCAGTGCGCTGCCATTAACACTGACAACAAAGCCATTCTGCAGAAAGCACTTGTGCTCTTCTGACTTCCTCAAAGTCACAGTGAGATTCACGTGTAGGCATCTAAAACAGTGACACTGGCTTCCTCAGGACACACTGCCATGACCCAAGCGCAACCCCCATGCCTACTGTGTCTAAAGTGCTGATAAGAACATGTCTGAGGCAGAAAGAATCCTTTCCTTGTCCCCTATCCTAGTCCATCGATTTAAAATCATTTTTTTTAAGGATCCAAACAATGCACCCAACTCTCTCACCTGCTTTTCTGTCAGGGAGCTGACAAGGCTGGGGTCTTCATGAGCTTCAGACCAAATGTTTACAGCAAGTTCCTTGGCCAAGCCTTGATTCCACCTTCAGGGCCTTCCACAACTGCCTGGTGCCTCCAATTAGGACCTTGGGCCTTCGAATCTGCTCTGGAGGTTTTTACTTTGCAACACAGTAAAGAAAATTCAACTATAAATAACTCCAAGCTGCGTTTGTAGTAAGGGGTTTTACAGTCGCCATTAATTCCAGCAGCACTTTGTCCTCTGGAGTTCTCTTCCTACAACAGGCAGGGGTCTCCTCCTGCGGACTGCTCAGCACTCCAGCTGCCTGCTCCTGCTCCCAGTTCGGTAAGAGCTGCTACTTGACAGCCCTGCTAGAAATGCTGAGCCTAGTGTCCAAGGACCCGCCCGATCTGTGCTTTTGTCAATGGATGTTAAAAAAACCTGTTAAATGTAGAACAGTCTGTCTCAAAACTAGTTGAGGCACTGCTTGAGATTGGAAATCGAGGGGGAGAGGGAAGGGACTGCTGGAATCACGTTCATGTGATTTAGACCTAGTTTCTGTGAGACACTAGCTAGAGTGGTCAGCTCTCCTGCCCCTGGTTAGCACAGAACAGCGAAACTGCCTTCCCTCCTGCGGAGACAACTGCACTCAGCCACTCAATACTGGGAACAAATAAAACGGGGCATTAAGCCCAGCACGTGTGTCGGCACAGCCCAGTGGAGCCTTCTTTCCTTCCACTGTCTGCTTGTTTCTGTTCAGATATCCTATAGCTCTAGTATTTACAGCTCGTACTTCATTGTACTCATCTCGGTAAAACACAGTATTCGGCTCCGACAGTAACACTGCCGGCACGAGGGGATGGGAGACGCATCTCTCCTTATCCCTGGATTCACTCACTGCACCTCAGCAGTGATTGCTGAGACGCTTCTGCACTCCAGGTGCTGTCCTCCACCAATACTGACCGCTCCTTTCCAGCCCCATTTACCTCCTCACCACACGTTTCCTGGTTTTCCCACACTACGGAATGCAATGAAGGCAGAAAAATAACCAGTGTAACCATTTGCATACAAAACTCAGCCCCAGCTGCCCCAAACGGATACAACAGGGAGGCAGCTGGGAATATGAAATAAATATAACTAAAGATACAGCAGTGTCACACAGCAGAGCGAGGGCTGCTTACACGGGCCGTTGGGAACGAAGCAGTGGAAGGAAGGAAGGGAGCTAAGTGCCTTTTCAGTGTAAAAAAATAAGCATTCCCTCACGGAGCCAGCATTATTGCTCAACATGCTTAGCAGGTCCTGTCTGGCGCTGAGGAGGTAAAAGTCTGAGGGAGGGCGTGTGTGTAAGGGCTCTGCACTGACGAAGCTCACGGTGGCATCATTACCCCACCAGCCTGCAGGTATCTCTGGACAGCAGTACAGGAACAAGCCAACTAAATCCCCTTCTGCTGAGAGGTCTCCCCTCAAAATACAATAACTTCAAGTTTAATAGAGTGGAAGAGAGAACCAGATTCACCCAGAGGTCAAGGTAAAAGCAGCCAGCACTGCCTGTTACTGGCTGCCACTCAGTTCATGCTTGGCATAAATGTCCCAGGACCCCTGCAACGTGGGGCAAAACATTCTGGACTAAAGCTACAAGCAGAGTGGTCAGGACATGTAAACAAAGCTGAACATCACCAGTGGATAGCATGTGTGTCCCTCCCCACGTCACATTCATTCCAGTCCTGTGGGATCCTCTCCTGGTCCTGTCACAGAGTCTCTGGCAGTGTCCTGAGGTCATAGATTCCCCCACTGCTCTACTGGGGGAAATTGATCCACTTCACCAACCTCTGTGCTGGGCTGGTCTCCCAGTGTGAAGGTCAGTCTGTATCTCAGCCTCACTTTCTCCTGCAGGAAAGACGAAACCCAAGAGCAACATGAGAACAGCTCCTGAACAAAACACTTCGCTGTTACAGCTCTGCAGAGAGCACAAGACTTCTGTGGCATGCAGCCGGGGCAAGAGGGCCGAGGTAAGTTCATGGAGTAGTTCAGCTGTTTAGCAAACCCGAGTTGTTTACCGTACAGCTTTTATACCACAGAAGCTTTATGGCTTAGCAGGGAACAGTAGGAGAAAAGCATGGATGACCTGTGGTAACAGTTTGCACATACGTGGCCAGCACCCATTGCTCAGCTGCTCTCCACTGAGCCTGAAGAACGCTGCTGGAACAGTTCAACATTTTCAGAATTAAATTCCTCATCATGTGGAGGAAGATGAAACAGTTCCTGCTCTGCAAAATTCCTAGTAAAACAGCAGGCAGGAGATGGAACCAGTCCTTCAACGAGGGGATCTCCATGTACCTCACAAAGTTTTTCAACAATCCACCAAACCCCTCTGACATTTATCCTTTTGGATCTCAAAGCTTTCAGCTGATACCTTAAGGACCCTTTTGCTGTAATTCTCAAGTAGTAACATCTCGATTTGTCAAATAATTAGAAACTCCTTCAGCAGCCAGCTTTGAGCTTTACGGAGCAGGCTACTTAAATGAGTAACTACAGAAAGAAAAAACAGCTACTTGGAAAAGAAAGCGGCAACCACGTTGTTTCACTGGTCACAGGCTCTAAGACCAGCAGAACAGACATGATGTGACACTCGCCTGTCAGGCTATCGCCTCAACACAGCACAAGTATTTCTACAGCACCAGCTAATTTGACATCAATCCACTCTCACAAAGCCAGTGCACATGAGAGTGGGACAAGCTCCTGATGCAGCCCCGATTACTACCCTGTAAAGCGGAGCCTTGTGGGACTGTGGCCCTTTTGCTGAGAGGTGCATACAAGTTTTGCTGAGAGGTATGTGCAAGTCCTTCTCATACTTTTCCTCACTGACAGGAAGACCCTCCTCCTAGCTCTGAATCACAACACAAACCTTATGCAGCAACCACCTCTGGAGGGCGAGTTAGGAATAAACAGCTGTATCTGCTCAACTGTTTGGTCCACCCTCACCTATAGAATTCATACATCAAATTTGTCTGACAAGAACAGGATAGATCCCACTGCCCCTCTCACCTTCGTAGGATTTGCCAGAAGCATGACTTGGGTGATGGCAGCAGGTGGCTGGATGGGATTGAACGGAGACAGCTCTGTGCCAGAGGGTGGTTGTAACTTCACTTTCATGGACTGCAAATGAAAAAGAAAGCAGAAGCTCAGGGATCATCTCCTGCCTTGGGGACAATGAAAGATGCAAGTTCAGGCTGGGGAGATAACAGCACACATCCAGACTGAAGAGGATCAATCCACGTGCAAGGATGAGGATTGATCAAGAAAGAGCCAGCCCACCTTGCACAACACAGCAGGAACACGTAGGCTGACAAGTCAGACCAGAGTACAAGCACTGGCCAGGTGAATAAATACCAACAGCACCTTTGCTATCTAAGTGCTCTTGGGTCGGATGTTTTAATGCGAACACCTTCACGACAGTAGGCAGAGCATAGCCGAGATTGGGCCAGTTTTCAAAACACAAAGCTGGCCACCCAAAATTATCTAGGTGCAGTAAGACTACAGTGGAACATATTGTCAGATTTAGGTTATCTGTTAGAAATTCTGATTCTAAAGACCTCAAGTGGGGCTCTATCCATGTAACGGTCCTATCATTGTGCTGTCTGAGCCACCTTCATGAACAGACACAGCTGGATTGATCTTAGATAGCAAGAAAAACAGAACACTACCTGCAGTTCTTGACTTATACTATTAAGTGTCTTCTGCCTCTGAAAACCACCTTTATGTTCTGGAAACAGGCAGAGCACAGCCCACAGAAAGGTAGACCCAGGCTGTCCCAGGTCCCTGAGCTCATACGCAGAGCTTCCCGAACGCACAGTTTCACGGTGCCGTGGGTCTGAGCCACGCTTCCCCACCTTTGGCACAGCAGCCTGCAGCACGATGTTCTTCACGGGAAGTGGTGCCGTATTCAGCATCGAGACCACCACGACGAGCACATCCGATCTTCCTGGTGGGCACTCCCTGGCAAAGTGCAAGAGGATCCGGAAGCCGTTCTTGTCGTAGGCTGTCACTGGGAGGGCACTGCCTACCACAGAGAGAGGAGGGGAGGGGAACGTAGGTTTATGCCGCAGAAGATGATCTGCAGCAGCATTAGGCAATCTGACTGTTTGACTGGGACATCTCATCCCTTCTGTCCACTTCAGAAGCTTTGTCAAGAAGCTTTGCTTTTAAAAACTGTTCAGAGAATGGTGAAAAACCTGAGATACTTACTGGGTTTAATGGATTCCAGGGGAACATGGACATTGGCCAAAGAAATTTCAGGTGCTTTCATCGGACTGCCTTGCTGCTGGCATGATGCTGGCTGGAAGAGAGGACTTCCCGAGCCAGCAGTGCAGCTGCTTGGGAAAGGAACTGGAGGGGCTCCAGGGGCAGTGGCTGGCAGCCCTGCAGGTGCTATTAACGGGGCAGAGGTGACAGTGGTTGGCAAAGTAACCCCAGGGAACACTGAGGGCGTCACCATGCCTTGGGTGGCAGTCCTGGAGGAGAGACAGAAAAAACATGGGAAACTGAGCTGAAAGCGAAGCAGGCATTTCACCACAACCCCAGGGATAACACCAGATCATGAGCACAAGGCACTGGCACAGAGCCAGACTGGAGCCCGTGACACAGTACAGTCTCATGTAAGGAGGAGAGCTACAAGGAAAGTGGTGGTGGTAGGGTTAGGCATCACTTCTCGAAGTCTCACCTTGGCAAAGGCCTCTGCTTCTCAGCAGCCTGTTCAACTTTACACCACACGTTTGTATCAGGCAACAGTACAGCTGTTGTGCTTGACCCAGCAGTGCCTGCCTTACCCTCCCAGAGATGGGACCCTCGTATCAGTTTGTAAACTGAAACCCTCTGAGAAGAAAAATCCCAATCACACACTTCTACCAAACCAGAGAGTTGAAAGTCTGCCTCTGAACCTGACGCTGCAGCACGCTTGGCTTTCTAACTGCGGAGACAAAGGAAAGTCCAGAACTTTTAGTTACCCTTTGGCTTCTTCAAGGAGTTGCCCCAATGCATCCATCTTATGTGACATATTGCTCCCCACAGATGAGCTAAAGAACCCAGGAGCAGCTGGAATAGTCTTAGGAGGCCCCGCAGGGGCAGCTGGTCCAGCAGAGAACACAAATGGAGCTGAGTTTGGTGCTGGGATGCCGGGAACAGCCTGAGAGGCTGTGAAAGCAGAGGGCAGCGTCACTGACGTTCCACACGTGGTCTGTGATGTGTGATGGAGAAGAGGGTTCCCTGCAGGGTTGCAAGCAACAGTCACCATCTTCGGATTAAAGAAATCCAGGTCCAACTGATCATTCTGAAAGAGAGGACAAGTAGACGCTCCAACTCACTGCTACCCCCTGTTGTAGAGATGGCACTGTTACAGAGGGAGATGGATTTACCGCAAAAACAGGTGCTGGGTGGCAAGCAGCAAAGTCTGTGGCCTATGTCAGGGCTACATCTGATCTGTAATTTAAGCAAAGGAAGCGCTAACATCATGGGGGACAGATGGGAAACTGAGAAAGCCAGGTTCAGGGATATCTACTCTGTTCAGACACAGCTATCCCAGATCTTAGGGCTAAGCCAGGCTTCCCCTCAGGAACAGCAGCCCCTTTGCTTGTATGTGTGATCACACACTTCTCCAAGGTGACAGAGTGTGTTCCAAGACCTCTCACAACAACAGCCCCTCCCTCCCCTTCCCCTAAGACCCTCCTTTGTACCTCAAACATGCTCCACTGGTTGTTTTCTGATGTCTCCTTCACTGCTGTAGGGGCAGGGTCATTCAAGCCTGAAAGGAAAAATAACAAGTAGGTGACTGGAAGAGAAAATAAGTTAGGTGTCATCCCTGGGTAGTTGTTTCAGTACCATCAAACCACTTGATTCAGCTTTGCCAGAGCCCAAGAACCTGATGAAAGACTGAAATGTGATGCAAGTCTACGATGAGGAAAAGAGACTGACAGCACCAGTAGCTGACAGTCACCCCCTGCACACAGCTCTTCTAACCCTTCCGGATTCACAGTGTGTCTTCTGCTGTTCACACCTGGGCTTCACAGGCAGGCGTTCTGCAGGCTCCCATATGCAACCCCTCTAAGGCATAACCTTGCTCTTTAGCACAGCTGCGAAGTCAGGGGGAAATCTATATCCAAACTGCAGCCAGCATGTCCAAGCACCGACAGAGATCAGACTGCACTTACACTCAGCTTATTTCACTCGCAGCCTACTCTGGGAATATCAGAGTTTTTAGTACTGCCTCATTGACCAGGTCTTATGTTCAGGGTGATGCAAGCAAGTGTCCCCTGGATTTCTCTAGAAACTAAAGGCATCTAATGCTCCTTTAGGCATGCCACATGTGCAGCCAGCCCTTGCACTCACGCTGATGGAAGAAAGCAGTCTTTGTTAGGCATGGAGTGAGTAGCCCTTTCCGGGCCCCTCAGTGTCTTACCCAAGCACAGAAGCTCCTCATCCAGCAAGGAGAGGGAGTTGGCCGAGCTGCTCTGCTGAGCAGGTGCGGCTTCCACTTGGCTAGAGGAACTGCTCCGCAACTGTGCAAATGACTGGGGAGGAGGCGGGAGAATGGGGATTTCTGCTGGGGCTGGGGCTACTGTGGGGGCTGGCGTCAGGGTGGCGGGTGGCACTGGAGGTGGTGGGGTGCTGGTGACGTCCAATCCAGCGAGGTCAATGAGGGTGTTGAGGTTACTTGTGGAGTTACTCCCTGCAGCGGACAGGAGAAGAGCACTACTAGGAAAGAAGGCAAAAGGCTCAGAGCAAACCCAAAGCACAGAAGAAAACATCAGATAAATGGTTTCGCTAACACAGATCCTCATTTAATCATGGCTTATGGCTCTTCATAACAGAGGAAGCCCACCTGCTTTCCACCTAACCATCTGCTGTCCATGAGCTACTTAAATCAACCCAGATACTTAGGAAATTTCTATCTGAAAAGCAACATCTGCTTCAAACACTGCTCCTTCCCCAGCGCTTTTTGTAGCATAATTTGTAGTCTTTTCAAAATCTTTTGAGCTCAGAGGAGGCTTTGGGAGATCCTACAGAATGACAATAAACAAAGGCTACCAGAGAGCTGAGTAAAGATCATACTATCTGGATATAGAATTTCCTTCATACTTATGACTGCCTTGTCCCATTACGATGCTGCCAGGCAGCATTACGCATTCCTCTGCTGCTCTCCATGCAGAAACGTGTAAGTGACCCCCAAATGGCACCTCTGCCACACACATGTCCAGCGCTTTCAACGGTGAAACGGAAGTGTAAAGTGGGCGACTGGCCTAAATCGAGAAATGAAATTGGTGGCAAAGCCAGGACTCCTGGCCTGGCTCCCACTCTCCCGTTATTGTCCTTTTAATAAAATCATTCTCTTCTTAAATGTCACCATTAAGAAACAGGACAAACATGGAGAGGAAATCGTATGAAAACTTCCAGCTACACAACCTGTAAACATGCAGGTTTCACAGAATCACAGAATGTTAGGGATTGGAAGGAACCTCAAGGATCATCTAGTCCAATCCTCCTGCCGGAGCAGGACCACCTAGATCAGATCACACACGAACGCATCCAGGCAGGTTTTGAACATCTCCATAGAAGGAGACTCCACAACCTCTCTGGGCAGCCTGTTCCAGTGTTCTGTTACCCTTACTGGGAAGAACTTCTTCCTCATGTTTAAGTGGAACCTCCTATGTTCCAGCTTATATCCATTTCCCCTTGTCCTATCATTGGATGCCACTGAGAAGAGCCTGGCTCCATCCTCATGACAGTCACCCTTTACATATTTATAAACATTAATGAGGTCCCCCCTCACTCTCCTCTTCTCCAAGCTAAAGAGACCCAGCTCTCTCAGCCTTTCCTCATAAGGGAGATGCTCCACTCCCTTCATCATCTTTGTGGCCCTGCGCTGGACTCTCTCCAGCAGTTCCTTGTCCTTCTTGAACTGAGAGGCCCAGAACTGGAGCAAACCCCTAGGTTTGCTACTGATGTTATCAAAGGTTTCCATATGAAACAAGCAATGGAAAATGCAAAGCTGCAGCACTATTGCTCATGTCCAGAATTGTCTCTCCACTGCTTAGAGATGTCTTGTCGCCCTCTGATTCACAAACTTGGCTACAAGAACCACCAATAGCCTACTTCACCACAACTAATAGGAAACTCCATCCAAAAGACTTAGAATTGCAAGATTCAAAACTAAACAGTTGGCTTCCCAGGAACTCACCTTCCACTACAGACATCGCAGGGAGATCCACTTCACCATTGATCACTTGTCCCTCTATTATTTTTTTATAGGAATTTATCACACGGGATAAATTGTCACTGGCCTGCAGAATATCCCCTACATGCAAGAGAGACAAAAACGACCTCCAAGACTTTAGTAATACTGCTCCCAGTAATGATGACAGAAATCAGTTATTAACTAAATAATCAGCAAGAAAAAACAATTATTCGGCTATAAGCGCCATAACTCTCTCTTTGCCATGCTTCTCTAAGCAATATCCCGACCCTTCTGGGTCCATGCACATTACAGTAACAATGAAAAAATGAGTCCAAGGCTTTGTTCCCCACAGCAACTCCATTCCCCTTCCAAAGCAGCAGCTGACCCCCGTTATTGCCCCTAGTCTCCCTAACCACCAACTCCACTGTCAAGTCCTGTCTGAATTTAAACGATAAGCACACAGAGGCAGGATCTTGTCTCTTATCTGCTCGCTCCAAGCAGAGCGCATTCATAGGTAAGAAGCTCTTTACAGAAGCCATTCCTCTGCTGCACCATAGCACAGTCATAGGTCACAAAAGCAATTAAAGAAGGGTAAGCGCAGCTTTGTTTACCCAAACTGCTGTCATTATCCTCAGTCTCACTGGCCAGCTTGAATAACGTCCGTCTTTTCGTTTCACACCTTTCATAGAGCTCCTAGGAAAAGAGATTAGGACAAAGGGTTTCATCAGCCAGGAAATACCGTCAGCAATACCAGTCAGCACAGAATGACTCCCCAGGCACGCACTGGAAAGCTCAGAATAGAGAAACCAGTCTCCCTGTGCTGAACACGCTAGTGTGGCTGAACAATCAAAACCCCCTGTCCCTGCCCTACTAACAGAGCTGTGAAGCATGGTGTTAGCCTGCGAGTTCAAACACAATCTGCATTTTCAACAAAACACCTCTCAGTCCTCCCTCACATCAACGCTTCTGGCCAGCTCTTTTGGGCTAGAGATGTTCGCTCCTCGTGCTAGGGCAGCCCCTAAAAGCCCGAGGAAGAGTAGAACTGTGCTTCAACACATACGTTTCGCTTGTGCTGCAATCTCTACTCAGAGAGTCCGCAACCACACAGAATAAAGGTGGTGAGAAGGAAACACCTCACAGAAACAAACCAGTTTCTTAAGCTTCCTACCATTGTTTCAGGAGCTTGTTAAACACAATTACACATTGAGCTTTTTTAATTAGATAACATGTTACTCTTCAAGGCCCTGGTCCTATCCAACGATCCCTGATGTCTGTTTTGATTTTTACCTTCTTGATGTTCTCCCAACCTTTTAACACTAGCTAAAACTGTTCCACTAAAGAGGAGGACATATCTTATGTCCCATTTAGCTTCAATTTATCCATCCAGTGGTGAGGAACAGTTATTATCTGCAATCAGTGTGCCCTAGTAGGAGCAAGAATTACAGACTGCAGCTTCTTGACTCTGCCACACTGCATCTTTGGAGAACAGCTGTACCCCACTTCAAGTTTGTGCAAAATCAAGCCATTACCCGGTCCTTGTAAGGCACCGCGTCCTTTGGTGAAAGGTGTTAAAAACGTGGTTATTTTCTTTCCTGCTGTTTCCAACGACTGCTCTTGTTTCTTGCTGTTGCTCTCCATTTTACTGCACTATTTGTAATTCTTTGCAAAACTCAAGTCTCTAAGAAAGGACTGACTGTAGGATTTCTGGGAAGAAGGGGCAGCTCAGACCCACCTTCATGAGCTCCCTATCAGCCTCTGACGAGTCCTCTTTGCTGTAATGAACCAACATCTCATTCAGCAGCTTCACGTTGTTATTCACTTCCTCCAGTGTGTGCATGCGTTTTGTCACTTTTTGAATCCGAGCCTCGTCCTTCAGGGTGTAAAACACAGACATGAAAAGTGAGTTTTCCTGTCAAGGTCCACAGTATCACACCAGCAGGTGTTACCTGTAAATCACGTCAAGTAATGTCTCTTACAGGTTAAGCTAGTTAAAAAATCCACCTGACTCCCTTCATGGGAAGTATTGCTTACTTGATTGTCTTTTCACCACTATTCTGAAATGTTAGAAACCTCTCGTATCTTCAGAAGGTCTCATTAAATAGATTTTAATGTATAATTATACCACTAAGAATAGAAGTGTTCAAAACAGTGTGTTCTCAACAGTTCCTTTCTGACCTGTTCAGAAGATTTATTTTTTTTTTTGTCACTTGATGCCTTTTTTTGAGAAAAGACAAGTTTGAAGCGACACATTTACTAGGAACAACAGGCGCTCTCTGGTAGAAAATATCCACCCATCTCTGATTTGAGATTCCAACTAAAGACACAGGAGAGTCTGCCCTGGGGACAACAAAAGCTTGAATGGAAACACTGCAGTAATCTATACATCCTCTTCAGTCTAGAGGTATTCTTTTTATTATTTTTTTTTTTTTCCAGAATCACGGTGAGTCATTTCCTGGACGCAGAGGTTTCTAATGACTGCCATGGGTGGATGCATCACGGCTCTGCAAACAGGAAGGTGTTTCCATGAGGCCTGCTTGTGAGAAGACCCAGTCCAATGACTCAGTCCTCAACATCCAGGGGTGGTAATGTGATGCTCCCACCAAACCCCAACGTGAAATACCATCTTGAGTGATGAGAATGCAGTTAATTACAACAAGGGGCATTCAATCCTTGCCTCTTCTTGCCCTGTCCTCCGCCAGACATCAACTGTAGACATTTTTGTGATACGAACATCTCCTACTTCTGAGCTGGGGTCAAAATGTCAATACATTCACATCATACAGAGCCCTGCTAAGTCATCAGACGGCACCTCCTTTATGTTGGTAACCACAGGGTCTAGATGCAAGTTAGCAGTCTGTGTGTTTTAAAGAATAATAAAAGGTTGGATGTTGCTGATGGTCGGTCTCATTCAGTCTCTACAGCTTAACTAAGGAACGTACTAATGCAATGCTCCCACAGCCTCAAAAGCCCAGCTGCTGCCATTCACATGAGCCTAAAGCTCTCTACCATTTTGGAATCAAATTGCTTAAAACTTGCAAAGCAGACTGCTGACTGGGACCAATCCTACAGGAATTTCTTACCTCTTTTACCATGGATTTTATAAGCTTGTTGGCCTCTTGTAAATCATCTGGGTTTTTGCTTTTCAGCAGCTTGGCTAGAAGCTGTAAGACGAGAAGGAGACAAATAAAGACCCTTTGGCAAAGGGAAGCAAAGGAAAGGAATCTAAGTGAACAAATTCAGGCAAGAACAGATACAGCCCACTACTACAAAGTTTA